GCCCGCCCCGCGCGCCAGACCCCACCCTCCGGCCGCGCCTCCGCCCCTCTGCTCGGCCCCCGCCCCCACCTGGCCACGCACGAACTCCGGGGCGAACTTGGTGGAGGCCCGCGCAGAGCTGCGGGAGCCCACGGAGGAGTCCTGGTCCGCACCTTCCTCCTCCCTCGCCAGACAGCTCTGGAGCCGCCAGGCCCGGGAGGGAAGGGGCCCCAGCGAAGGCCCTGGGTCACACACCGGCCAAGAACCCCCAGTTGTCCTGTGGTGTGCGGTCAGCATCTCCTGCAGCGTGCAAGAGACGACTAAGCAAGATGTAGGCAAAGACCCGTGGAAATGAACTGGAGGCCTAGAGAAAGGAGCTCAAGGCAGGAAATACTGGAGGTGGGAGCAGAAGGAACCAGCCACGGTCTCTGATATGATGTGGAGGTAAAGACAGGGAAGGGGACATCGGAGGAGGTGGAAACTGAAACTCGGAAGCCCAGTTAAGGGGTAGAGAGGAACTGGGGTGCCCAGAGGAACTGGGGTGCCCAGGGCATGAATTCAGCTCAAGAAGGTTACTGGCTCCCAAGTGGGAAAAGTCCCCAAGGTGGAGTCAAGGTTGATTGGAGACCCTATTACATCAGGACAAGCGGGGCCACAGGGAAGCTACCAGGTGGGCCGATCTGTCTCTACCGAACCTGCTTTTCACTCTGGTTCCTGTGTACCTCGCTCCCTAAACATCTACCAGTGAGCTGTCAGGTAAGGGAAACGAGTCTTCTGAGTCTTGTCAGTTTCCTTCACCAGGAACCTCCAGTGACTTCGTATGACATCAGCATGCCTGTCAAAGGGGCTGCAGAATCAGTGACCATCCTAGCGTCAACTTAGCTGTGACTAAGATCCTTCTCCCGTCTCTGCATAAGCTCAGCAGCCATGGAGGCTTAGGGCAGGAGCCCTGTTGGCCCTTACTGTTAGCAGTGAAGCTCTGCTGTGATCACTGCCTTGAATCACTGGCTTCACCCAGGGACAGCCGAACACAATACTTATGGTGACCACAGCCCAGGTCAGAGAGGAGAGAGTCCAGAAAAGCAAGAGAGCTCAGGAGGTAGGCTGTGCCGGAGACTCCACGCAGGCTCCCGTTGGCAGCCAGGTCCCACCAAGGAGGAGTTTGTTTCTGACTTGAGGGGAAAATTAGACAACACCCTCTTGGGTAGCAAGCAGAAGGCCCGAATCAGGGGCAGGTGGTGTAGAGGGAGCCTGAAGGGCTGAGTTGGAACTAGAGCAACTGACAGGCCAAGGCCATAGTCGTTAGCAGGCTGGGGGCGGGGTTGGGACCTCAGGTCTCTTCTCAGCCCTCAGCCTGGCTGAGGTGCAGGGGGGAGGTAAGGTGGGTAAAGGAAGTCTTCCCATGTGGTCACAAATGCAAACACTTCTCAACACAGGTAAATAAGCCAGCCACTTCTGGGAAGCTAAGCTGGAGCACAGCTCTGCCCTCAGCTGTGCCCTCCCCACGGAGGCTCCCGCGGCTGCCAGCGGCAGAGGGTCCTGTGGTTGTCGCCTTCACCCCAGACCTCACTGGACCTGAGGGGACGCCGCGGCTGGGCCAAGTTCCCACGGCATCAGCGTACACTCTTCCGATAGACCAACTCCCATGCCTGATGTCTGTGAAGACACAAGCCTTCCGAATCCCTCCTTACATGAGCTCCTCAGTGTCACCCATGTAGCCCACTTATCCGTCTTCCTAAGCCAGGGTGGGCTCCTGCCTGGGTACCTGGCGCACACCGCAGCCTTGAAGGTCCAACTCTTGGGACGGCGGTGGATGGTGACTTTGGATGTTGTCTTACTTTTCCTATTGCTGTGACAAAATATGTCAACAGAAGCCACTTAAAGCCAAGCTTTAATCCCAGCACTCGGGAGACAGGACCTTCATGAGTTTGAGGGCAGCCTGTTCTACCTACCCAGCAAGTTCTAATAAACCCAGGGATACATGGAGATCTTGTCTCAAAAAATAAACAAATAAAAAAAATATTTTAAAAAAGAAAAAGGTAAAGAGGTTCAGTTTGCGGTTGGGAGTAGTGACGCTGGGCACTGGAGGACAGAGACCTCATACCCTCCTGGTTGCAGGCCTCAGAGTGCAGTCCGGACAGAGCCAGAATACATGACCAGAGAAACCTGTGTGACCTCAGAGGGCTCCCCCTACCCTTTGGCCAACCTTCTGTAAACCTTGGCCACATTTGGCTTGGGTAACAACAGTGTTAGCAGACTGGTACACAAAGTACTCTGAGACCTGCAAAACGGTGTTTCTACTGGGAACTGGGGAGATGACCCTGGAGGACGTGGCCATCTGCCCTTGAGAGAAGTGATTCTTCAGGCAGCTGTCAACATTTGGGGGTTTGTCACCCTGAGGTTCCAGACGAAGCTTGCTGGTAGGCATCATCTCCAAGCCTCCAATCCACTGCCTTCAGGGATCCAAGCGACCAACTACCCTTTCTCAGGCCATCCCTCCATCACACCACGCCTTTGTATTCTCCCCTTCCTTGAAAGGGCCCCAGTGGAAGACTGGGTGCTCCTGGGCACAGCTGTCCATTCCAGCAGGCGGCCTGTGTCCTGTGATGGGAATCTGCAGTTGAAGACCTTGTAGCAAAAGGCAGGGAAGGTGATCTGGAAGCAAGGTTGATGCTTGGACCCCGAATCCATCCATGTTGGGCACAGGTCATGCCAGACAGCTCCCAAAGGATAGGGGAGGTGCTAGTGAAGGTGACTAGAGACCTCACCTGCTATGCTAATGTAGCCCCCAAGATGATTACCCAAGGGCATCTGACAAACTTTTGGGAAGTCAGGAGGTGGGAGGAAGTCCTATATAGGCACCCACAATTGGGCCTGTGCCTTGGTCCACCCCTCCTCTTGACACAGACCAGGACTTGACTGTCCTGTCCCACCGCCGTTCCATTTTCATGAATGGAACATATTTTCTAGGCAAGTGCTCCAGCACTGAGTGACACCCCCAGCCCTCAGAGCTTTCTATCTTAAGACATCTAGTGAAGTGAATCACCCTGGGCTCTCCAAGGAAGATGGGACTAGGTTACTCCTTGGGCACCACAGCCAGAGTCTGCACCACCCAGTGGCATGCTGCCCAGGAACTAGAGTGGATATAGGGCAGCAGGAGCTGGTGAGTGACAGGGCAGACATTCTAGATGTCCTGACCGGGAGAAAGAAAGCTATTTGACACCTCAGTAGGCAGGTCCTGGTCTCTGGGACCAACATCCTTTCAGCTTGGGGAGCTTATCAAATGTCTGGAGCAGGGCCTCGGTTCCCATGCCAAGCCCATCCCCCAGGGCAGCAGACTTGAAAACTGTGCCTCCCTGGATGCCACTCAGAGAGGCACTGACTGGAGAGGAAAGAAACCCAGACTGTGGCCACAGAAGACACACCACCTTTTGCAGAATGTTTTATTTCATTTCTCAACAATACTGAGTCAGAAACACACACAGCTACAGGGCATCTCCTTATCCTTAGGATCAGTTCCAGGTATATGGTTTCTTGTGTCCCTTGAGAGCTCTCCGGCTGCTCCAGGTCCTGGCTGCAGCTGGAGCTGCTCACCAGACCATGTGGTTCACAGAAAGAAAGGAGCCATGAGCTTTGGCCACAGCCAGCAAAGCTGCTAGCCCCAAGGACCTCTTGCAGGAGGGACCTTACTTAACCCATCAGGGACCAGACTAAGGGGAAGAAGAGGCCAAATAGAGACACCAGCCCTTCCGAGTTCACAGAGGGTGGGCCTGATCACCCCCTCAGGTGACAGCAGCCTTTCTGTAGCACTTCTCTTTGTAATATAATTCACAGCTAGAGTTTGCAAATGCTGGCAGCAGGCTGGCTGGAGAGACAAGAACGGAAAAGGGCAGCTGGTGAACCAGGAGGGCTTGGGAAGGGCCCTACCCTGGAGCCTGGTGTCCAACCCGGGCCTATGGCCTTCACCGCCCCGGCTCCCCCCAAACACCGGGCACGAGAGTCCTAGTCCTCACTAGAGTTGTCAAACTCCTCCCAGTCCGACACACTCATCACTTCGGAGGCAAAGTCTGCATCTGCCTGACTACGGTTGGGGGTCCCTCGGGGTGGCTCACAGAGCAGGGAGCGGGGCAGAGTGAGCACACAGGCTGCAAGGCCTGAGATGGAGTTGTTCAGCTGGGGCCCTTCTTCCCAGCAGTCTTTCTCCATGTCGTAGATGTGCACGTAGCCCATGCGGGTGCCTCGGTTGTGGGAGCGGCCACCCAGCACATATATCCTGTTGTCTAGGACAGCAATACCAGGCTCACCATGCCCCGCCGGGAGTGGGCAGACTGTTGACCACTGCCGAGATGTGCAGCTGTAGCAAGCCACCTGCAAAGCCAAGGTCAAGGTCAACAAGGCAGCTTCTGAGACAGGCTTCCAGCCACCTCAGTCACTTTGTCACCTGCTCCTCCTAGCCTTGCTCAGCTGTAGGCCATCACCTTGCCTCCCCAGCCTTCAGCGAAGAGTGCACGAGTCTCCGTGTCCAGTCCTGCTTCTCTCCTGTTCCCATGGACCCCACGGACATCTCCCCTCCTTTACAGCACCCCTGCTCACACTCATGAGCGTGTGTGGAAGCAGTTACTCGCTGACCAATCATGACCACCAGCCTTCTTTTCAAAAACAGTCAAGGCAGTAAAAAAGACTTAGAAAAAAAAAAAACACTCAATCCACTAGTAATCCAAGAAATATAATACTAAAAACATCACCAGGTAACCAGCAACCATGGAAGAAAGGAAATAAAAAACCCAATGCTGGTGAAAGTGTGGCAAAGCTGGTGTGTACCTGTCTCACATGTCAGGAAGGAAGTTTAGTCGTATGTATTAAGAGATATTTAAATCTCTTCTTCAAGCCGGGCAGTCATGACGCACGCTTTTAATCCCGGCGGAGGCAGAGGCAGAGGCAGGCAGCTCCTTTTGAGTTCTAGGCCAGCCTGGTCTATACAGCAAGTTGGGGTGCATATCCAGACTCTGTTTTATAAACAAACAAACAAATAAATACAGCCATGCAGTCCTGGCTAGCTGGACTCTGGTGTGTGGACGACACAGATCTGGGACTTGTGGCAATTCTCTTACTTTGCTCCTAAGTGCTGGGGCTACAGGCCTGGGTAACAATGGCTCAATTGTTTTTATTTTTTGTTTTTAAAGATTTATTTATTTGGGCTGGAGAGATGGCTCAGTGGTTAAGAGCACTGACTGCTCTTCCAGAGGACCCGGGTTCAATTCCGAGCACCCACATGGCAGCTCAAAACTGTCTGTAACTCAGTTCCAGGGGACTTGACACCTTCACAACAATGTACATAAAATAAAAGTAAATAAGATTTAAATAAAAAATTTTATTTATTTTATGTATAAGTGCTACGCCTTTATGCCAGAAGAGGGCATAGATGGTTGTGAGCCACCATGTGGTTGCTGGGAATTGAACTCAGGACCTCTGGAAGAACAGCCAGTGCTCTTAACCTCTGAGTCATCTCTCCAGCCCCATGGCTCAAAATCTTATCTGCTTCACTAAGCAATCAAATTGGGGCTCTAGGTATAAAAATGGACAAAATAATGCCTTCTCACCCCAGGATGTCCACATCCTAATCTTTAGAACCTATGAATGTATTATGTTACATAGCAAAACTAACTTTACAGATGTGATAAAGGGTTGAGTGGCTTTGAGGGGAGGGCGTGTTTTCTGGGTAGACCCATCTACATACAGTTTGTTTTGTTTTGTTTTATTTTGGAGACAGGATCGAGATACATCACACTCTCTAGCCTCTAACTCTCTACGTAGACCAGAGTGACTTCAAACTTGCAGAGTCAGCTCAGGAGTGAGCCACTGTGGCCGGTCTGCAGATGCTCTGACTTAAGGGTTCACTTAAAACTTTCCAGCTTTATATTGCTGTAAACTTTGGCAAAAACCAGGGTTCACGGCTGGACTTGGCCTTTTCATGAGCTCGTTAACCCAGTCTAATTCTGTGTGATAACGGGTGAGAGGGAGAGCCGCAGCCCGTGTCAGGTACCCCACCTTGATGGGAACAACCGAGCCCCCACAGCACCCCTGTGGCTAAGTGTGTGTGTCTGCGTGTGGAGGCCAGAGGCCAGCCTCCTAGGACCCTCCTCAAAAGTCACCCGTCTTGCTTTCTGAGACAGGATCTCTCACTGAGACCTGGGCTCAACCATCAGGTTGGCCAGCAAGCTCCAGAGAGCTGCCTGTCTCACAGCAGGCACCCCAGGCCAGCGCAGATGTGGCGTGGCAGAGACGAACCCTGGTCCTCATGCTGGTGCGGAAAGCACTGTATGGACTGAGCGGTTTTCCCAGCCTGGTTGAACGGACATTGGAGCTGGAGTGGCTTGTTACAAGGCTGTAGATACGCGGCCCGGCTCCTGGAGTCGGGGCGGGCAGCAGCTGCGAAGCTGGCCCACTGCACAGGCTTGTGTTTCCACTAAAGAGTGAGGCAAGATTGCCAAGGTAAGAGTTCTGACAGAGCTACAAAGTGAGTTCAAGGCCAGCTTGGGCAACTTACCTCAAAATAAAAAGTAAAAAGATATCTGTGGATTAACTCTGTGGCAGAGGGTTTCTCTAGCACCTGTGAGATCCTGGGTTTAATAATTTCCCAATGCATACACACACACACACACACACACAAACACACACACAAAATGCTGGTAAGAAAAGCACATTTTGTTTAATTTCATTTTACTGTGTAGCCCAGGCTGATCTCAAACTTGCAATCCTCCAGCCTCAGAGCAGAGTGCTGAGGTTACAGGAATAGACTCCACACTTGGGATGCTCTTTGACTATGGCTAGAAGCAAGTCACAGACAGCCTGAAAGCGGGCAGCACAAGCAGAGGGTGAGTGCTTCTCACTCCTCTCCAGTCTTTGTTAGAGGGTCTACAATGTGGGCATGTTAACAGGACGGCCCTGGCTATCCTGGAACTCGCTCTGTAGACCAGGCTGGCCTTGAACTCAGAGATCTGCCTGCCTCTGCCTCTGTCTCCCAAGTACTGGGACTAAAGGTGTGTGCCACCACACCCGGCATGGGTATGTTAACTATTTGATGAAAATATAGTAACTAAAGGCACAAGTGAAACTACTATGGAGGTCATATGTATGCATTATATAGAATGTGCAGCATTCATGTAAGCGTGGGCTCGGAGTGATATGTTGGTATGGCTTCAGCAAGTCTAGCACGTGTGCCCTTCCAGTGAAGGATGTTCATAGTAGGGAGGCTATGCACAAATGGAACCAAGGGTACAGGGGACTCCCTGGACCTCCTGCTCACCTGGTGCACATCCCTCCTGTAGCCAGCATCATTGTTGCTGCCTCCGATCACAAACAGCTTGTCGAGGAGGGCAGCCATGCCATGCCAGGCACGTCGCACAGGCCCGTCAGCCAGAGTATGCCACGTGTTGCTTCCTGGGTCGTAGCAGTGCGTCTCTTTCAGGTAGTCCTCTCCTCTGCGACCACAGGTGATGTACATCTTCCCCTGCAGCGTGGTGCCTGCATGGGCATACACCTGTGTGCAGCCACCAAGAGAGCCAGGAAAGGCAGGGAATGGGCAAGAAGGCAGTGAGCAAGGTGGCCAGCAGCGGCTGCCTCCACCACTCTGCACCTGCCTGATGACACACCAATCAAGGCTTCACCACATCTGATGCACCCTCACGTACTGAGGAGAATGCACCCTGGATTCTGTCTGGATATACTGCCCTAACTTCTTTCCAAGAGGGTATGTTATCTACAGACATAGAGATTAAATATAATCTTTGTGTTTCCTTGTCTCTAAAGGAAACATCTGGATGGGGAACAAGAAAACCAAGGCCCACTTTCCAAGCTGCCAGAGAAGCACACCGGCAGCAAGGACCTGCCCTTGGTGGCTTCAACTTTCCACCAGCCAACCTTTCCAGATGTGTCTGCAGAGTTCCCACCCACAGGAAGTGGGCTACAGGGAAGAAAAGAAAAAGATGAGACGAAGCATCAGATATAGTTGGCTCTCCATATCCATAGGTTCGCATCTCTGGATTCAACCAAGCAAGGATGAGAAATACTCAAGTCAATAAACTGCATCTGTACTGAAAAATGTACAGAGGTTCAGTCCTCCATATAAAACAATTCACTTATTTATATTGTACCGTGTGTTCTAAGCCATACAGGGTGACTTACTAAAGCACAGACTTGCAGATGTGTAGGGATTGAACTAATGGGCTTGCAAATGAAGGCAAATGTCCTACCACTGAGCTATACCTCCAGCCTTCTACTTACCTTTTTATTTTTGAGACAAGGTCTCATGTATCCCAGGTTGGCCTAGAACCTGCTATGTAGCCAAGGATGACCCTGAGCCTCTGATCTCTCTGCCTCCACCTTCCAATGCTAGGTAGGATTACAGGTGTATGCATGACACCAGGTTGATTTGGTGCTGAGGGTTGAACTCAGGGCTTCGTGCACGTTAGCCAAGCACTCTGCCAACTACGCTACACTCCCACCCCTTATATTTCTTTTTTTTTGGGGGGGGGAGGGATGATTTTTGAGACAGAGTCTCACTGTATGTGTAGTTCTGGCTGTCTTGGAACGTAATCTATAGACCAGGCTGGCCTCGATCTCACCAAGATCTGTCTGCCTTTACTTCCTGAGATCTGGGATTAAAGGCATGCACCACCACACCCAGAAACCCCGACCTTTTTTTTACTTTCAGAAAGGGTCTAGCTTTATACTCTGTAGCCCAGGCTGGCCTTGAACTTTTCCTCTTCCTGCCTCTGCCTCCCAAGTATATAGGATTAGGCTTGTGCCAGAGCAGGCTTGGATGTGTAGGTTTTACACAAATACTGCTCTGACCCTTTACCTAAGGGACTTCAGCCTCACGGACTTCCCTACCCTTGCAGGGTCCTGACACTGACACAGTTGGGATCACGAAAGACAACTGTACAAAGAACCCTCCCACTTCAGTGATGCTGTGTGTGCTAAGACAGGAGACACCCAGTGCTCTGCACACTGGTCTGCAGTGCTCAAGGGTTTCCACCCTAGTCTGGCAGCTGTGTCCCCGTGACCCGCCGACCCAACCACATGTGTCCTCACTGGTCCCTCACACCCAAGGGCCAACAGAAGGCTCTGACTGTGCGAGGAGAAAGGAGCTCTGTAGGGTGCTGGAGATTCCAGGACTGTGTCACAGGACTCGTTACTAGGGCCACGTGGTAGCACAAGAAGCTGGAGAGGTGCACACAGCAGCAGGCAGAGCCCCCACGAGAGCTCAGATCTTCCATCAAAGGCGGCAGGCTGGGAGGTTCCCCCACCCAATTAGGGATTTGGAGATTAGAGGCCCCCTGCTCCTTTCTAGCAGTTTCTCTAAATGGTGAGAATTTGCACAATAGTGCTACAACATCCTGGTCAGGTCATCCAGCATACTCTGTCACCATTAGCATCCTCTAGGTGCTCTCTTAGAGTGTGAGTCAAAAATAGACATGCTTAGTCAAAGCCACACAGAATGGACTGGAGAGACCTCATAGGAAAGGCCCTCATGCATATATGTTGACAATAAGATCCATTATGAGGACTCTCTAAAACCAAAAACTCCAGAAGTTATTCCTACACAGAGACCTCTCCAGGCTGGACAAATGGCTCAGCAGTTAAGAGCAATGGCTGCTCTTCCAGGGGACCCAGGTTCAAATCCCAGCACCCACATGGCAGCTCACAATTGTCTGTAACTCCAGGATCCAACACCTTCATACAAAT